AGGATATTGGTAAAAGATGATTTTTGTCGAAAATTATTAAACCTAACACTCCACCTATTATATAATTCTTCTCGTTATTCATGTCATGAGCATGTTCTACTGACGTCACGACAGTACAAATTGCAAGGATAAGCATCCCTTATATAAGGTCATTTTAGTATCTACTGACAGACAGACAACACATGGTGAGAGTGGTTAAAACAGGTGACCCTTCCAGGTGGCCTTCGGCCCCCTTTCAGGGAAATTAATTATAACAGAGAAATATATTATACCCTCAAGTGGCCCGTTATTCCATACTTCATTTAATTTGACCACCCAAACCCTGAATGTTGTTTAAAGTTTTTGATGTGAACTTAAATTTCGATATCTTTAACCTTTTACATGGATCCAGTTACGTCAAATTTAATTATATGCCCAAAGTAGCGCATCGTACTAGTATCATTTTCGGTAAAAGAAATGAATCATTGGGACCCCATACGGAAGAGTTGTGTGAAAGAATTAGAGCGATAATGTTCGTCGTTTTTTCTGTACACTTGTCTGGAAAGTCACTTACTTACTTAGATGAAAATTCGTTGAAATAGTGAAATCTTGATTCACTACATAAACACGTATAAAGCAACTTAAGCGGCTTTATAAGTACAATAAGCTTTAGTTTTGCTTAACCAATACTGTGAAATATTCATTATTAATATTCAGACATTTTAAAAGTGGTTTTAAACGGGCGATTTTTTGGCCGCCATTTTGTTTCATCACTATCCCTACTATTAAGTACTACCGTACTTAATGATAATCACTCAGACAAACGGTTTGAGTTTGGCAACCATTTCAATTTTACCGCCTTATTTTTGCGAATGAGGGCTAAACTGTTTGTTGTTAAACACAAAGCTACACAATGGGCTATTTGTGCCGTGCCTACCACGAGTACTGAAACTCGATATTTAGCGTTATAAGCCCTATAACATACCGCTGAGCCGCCGTGTAGCAAGCGCTAAACTGAGCGAGGAGATTGACAGCTAGATGCGAGAAACCAACGCCAAACTAAAGTGACGTATAATGTCGCGCACAGCATGGGTATCTTCGTTCCTGTGGCACGATTCAAAACAGTGGAACTAGCCCCCACCCATTTACAATAAAAAAAATTAAGTTCAGCATTATTGTCGGGCACCTTTGTTAGCATTATATAAAAGCACCGAGTATCCTGTGGATGCTGCGTAAAAGACTTAAAAGTACATAAACTCAGCCTAATCAGACAGGCTGTAGCACTGCCTATGTTGGAATGGCTCAGATTGTTCATCGAAATGGTATTTTAAATATCTCCTCAACAGATCATCAGATCTTTACTATACTATACAGTGTTTCCTTTTATAACAATATCTATGTGATGATGGAGTCACAAATTCTGGGAATGTCTGTAAATATCAAAGCAAAATATTTGAATTTCTTGTTCTTCTTTCTTCCGCTTCTTTTTTTTTTTGACTACATGATAACTCGAAAACCAAAACAATGGTGTCAACCAAATTCACTGAGACAACATAGTTGCAAACGGAGTATCCGCTTTTATAACTATTATTAATAACTAAGTAGTAATTAAAAAAAAATTACAATTCTAGTATAAGCGTTGTTATCATTACCCCTTGAAGTTAGCTTTCTTACAGAAATTTGGTGTTTCTTTTTAAAAGCTTAAGTACAAGGTGAAACAAGAATAATCAGCCAATAATAAATAAACAATAAATATTACAGTTGGAACCTCACTGTATTTAGAAGTTTTATAAATACAACCTTCCTATGTCTATTGAAACGCTGCATTAAAAAAACAAGCAAACAAGTAAAGAAAAAATTTTCAAAAAAGGATATAAATGTAGGGATGGCTAATATCAATCCTTCAAAAACAATGCAAACAAGATAGTTGGGATGGCATTTACATTATTCCTAATTAATAGCACAGGCAAGAATTAACATATAGCAATAAATCTAACTATTCAATCACAATTGAGTTTAATTTTTCATATTTTTGTCTGTTAACATTCTACTATACTGTATGCCTACGCTATTATGTAGGAATGATGTAAATACCATCCCTACTATCTTGTTTGCATTGTTTTTGAAGGATTGATATTAGCCATCCCTACATTTACTTCATTTTTTTGAAAAGTTTTTTCTTTATAATGTAGCCATCCAGAAACGTTTTCCCACTTTCACTTAAAGTAAACAAATCGATATTTTGAAACTGATTAACTACTGTCTATCAGTTTATTGAACTGTGGAAAGCTAGCTATTATGTAGTTTCCACTGATAAATATTGCGTCATTTGTTTAACGGTTTTGTACAAAAATTTAACACGTAAGCTTATGCAACGTTTCATTTATATAACATTTAGCTTAAGTACATACGGTAAAGTTATGATGATTGAATATTAATCATTGTAATTGTGAACAGCCTATTTGATCGACTAAGTTTAATTATCAATAGATATTACTATTAATAACTATTAACTAGATTTTTTTATCTGACGCTTCGGTTGTTAATCTGTTACCGTTTTCAGCCTGTTTCTATAGTAGTAGTGGCCAAGATTCGAACCTGGGTCATCGTGACAGAGAGGCTGGTGTGCTATTATTTGAAAACCCCAGAGAAGTAAAGTGCACACCAGCCAATTAGTGAAGAGAACGTAAATTCAAATCGCGGCAACTACCACAACAGAAATAGTCCTTCTCAGGACTTTCCAGAAAACAACAGCAGACTATTGGCGGAAACGTATGATAAAATCTAGTTAGTAGTTAATATTAAATTATTAACTAATCAACAGTCAGACATATGTAATTATGTAGGTTAGTAACCATGACAACGAGTGTTTAGTTTTATAAAAAGTTACTTATGATTTCATCAACACTATAAGACATACCTGTTTCAATAAATAATCATATAAACGACGTGTCTTATAAGTATAAATTTTACAAAACAATCACGAGTTTACCCAGGCTGAAACTGAACGATTATACACCGAAACAAGAGGGAATTCTCATAAGCCGCGGCACTTGAAATTCTTTAAGAAAGAATTAGAGTAAATTAATTTATGAGCCCCTGTTTTCCTTTTTATTAACTATATTTTTGTGCGCCAGCAATACCGAGCATGGGGCGCGCGTATACCCGATTTTATTTTATTACTCATCAGGATCTCTACCAGCCTACCCTCAAATTGAAATTATTTTAGGCAGGATTAAAGTAATCTATAAGACCTTGGGCGTGGTTAAATATATCAATAGAAAGGGTTTGACCTTCTGAGTCCAAAACTGTAATTAGATCTCAAATCGGTCAAGAGATGATGGAGCTATGACCTAAAAGTTTGTATTTGAAAAAACAAAACAACAACAAACAGAAACAAACAACTCAGAACCATTCTATGAGCCGATACGCCAGGGCTAAAAACAAAACGAACCTCAAATTCGTGACTCTCACCAACTGGCTAGTTTCCAGACAGATGCAGGTGTTACTTATTTCTGACAGAAAATATTAAAGCCTAACAATTCTGAAACATCTGCACCCACGTGTTTTTAAATACATTCAAATTATGAGTGTATTAAAACGTGCACATCTGACACGTAGGTGTTAAAAATATAATTACATTTAAATAGTAATGACGAAAAGAAGGTAGAGTCCTATTATTGTTGAGACATATAACTAAATATATATAAGTGATAAGCAATAGGGATTTAGATATAAGTTAACGGTTTAAAAGAGTTGGGGAACTAAGATTTTTCATATATATATATATTTTGTAGAAACACGTGTTTACGTTGATCGTGCAATGCCTTGGTTTGTGCCTTTACCACAGCAGCTACACTCACTGTGATGTTACTCCAAACGAACACCAAACTTCCAAGCCACTATCCGTTTACACGCTGTGTACCTTGGTCCGACTCGTGAGGTTCTTTTATGGAAAAATGGGTTAGCCCTAGTGGACTGTCTAGAAACTAACAATTTTCAGTAGCCACATGATGACACAGTTCACACGCTGTTACCGGCTCATCTCCATGTGCACTAGACGTAAACACGACGTTGCCAGAGCGTTTCCTTGCGCCTACCGCTGTAAACTTTAAAGTGTTATATTGAAGACACAAAATGCATTCCCAACTTTCATATTAAAGTTCTTCCTCTCTCAAACACTCTCAAGGAATAACAAATAATGTTAATTTTTCTAATCGACTCTAGACGTTTTTTTCATGACCTTTTTATCCAAAAACCTAATTATGTTTTGACCACTGAATATTAAACTGAATTAAACTACTAGAGTTGTTATGAAGAGTGCAACATATGTAACTTCAACTATACACAAAACTAATGATTCGTGTCTGGAGAATCTGTTCACAATTCACTCTCCCATTCAACATTTCTATACCAGAAAATCATTCATATCCATTGAAACGTGCAAAAATAACACTTTTGGTATCATTAAAAGATTTATTCCCCTCGAGTTTTAAAGATGCACTAATCAGAATTAAACCAGGACGATCACAGAAAACTTAGTTATGATTGACAAAAAAATAAAATATCCTACTCCAGCAGTTACATATGTTTAAATACCTGTGAAGAAAGCCTATCATTTCCACTGACAAATATGCAAAAAATATACATACCAGGTGTTATTTTTAGCATAAAAGTATCAAACCTAATTAAGAATGTAGTTTTTATATTTATTACACTTCTGGCCCTCTCTAAGTACTTTACATCTACAGCATGATGTAAATAAAATACTTATTTCTTCAATCAACTGTTCATGTATACAAAAGCCAGTTCTTATTACACTAATAGACCCAGTATTACCTCAGTAGTGTCTGCCATTACTAATAGTAAATCAGCAGTAAATGTGCAAAATAATACATTTGGTTCAATTTTTCAGCATCCTGATATAGACAAAGATAAAACAATAAAACCAAACTACAAAAATACCATACTTCATTCACAACAAATAAGAGAACTATTTATAATTTTTTTTCCCTTCTCACCTTATGTAAATCTGGCGAAGAGCCAGTGAAGCATTGACACATCCTTTAATGATATTAAGTGTCTCAAGTATTGCTTCCCATTTTTGGTTGTCGTTGACCTGGAAAAATACCAAAATCCCAAATGAATCATGTAAGATGAGAAACATATTTTCAAAATAATGATTTCTTTTCTGAGCATCAAAAAGAAAACAATTATAAATTATAATAATTCATCTATAAGTATATTTTACAAATCAATCCTATACTCTTTCTATCATATACTGTATTGAGTTACTTGTGGGTTTTACCTGACCTCATAGTTGTAATTCGTCTCACAAAAACTTAAATTCAATCATGTAGTCAGGTCTGTAGAAACTTATAACCTAGTTTTAGTTTTTCAACTATGTCAAATGTGGGTAACTTTTAGTCTCAGCCATACAGTTAATTATGGCTTTTGTTTTTACATATTTCTATCTTATTCCCAAGTGTTATGCTGGATATAAAACTTCTTGTTGCTCTTTGTGGTTGAGTTTTTAAGGGTGCATTGGTCCTTCCATCTAAAAAATAATCTTCCAGTTTTTAAATGATAGATCTCCAAGTATGTCATTTAGCTTGGTCTTTGCATCTAAAAAATAATCTTCCAGTCTTTAAATGTTACCTACATGGAGACCTAACATTTAAAGACTGGAAGATTATTCTTTAGATGTAAGGACCAAGCTAAAGGACATACTTGGAGATCTCCTTTAGCTTGGTCTTTGCATCTAAAGAATAATCTTCCAGTCTTTAAATGATAGGTCTCCAAGTATGTCCTTTAGCTTGGTCCTTGCATGTAAAGAATAATCTTCCAGTCTTTAAATGATAGGTCTCCAAGTATGTCCTTTAGCTTGGTCCTTACATCTAAATAATAATCTTCCAGTCTTTAAATGTTAGGTCTCCATGTATGTCCTTTATCAAATTATTTTCTATGTGATCATGTATCTCTGTATACAGTAAATGTTAACTGTTGTTTTTTTTCAACTGGAGAATTTTAATATATGAATCTATGACACTTAAGCCACTTGAATTTCATTAATACCTGATATTAGTATTGTTCTTTTCATCTAATAATTCATGATAAATTATATGACTTATAAAAAATTTTGGTAAACATGCATTGATAAATACCACATCTTAAAACAAACACTATACCTGAGAAAATTATGAACAATATTTTAGTTATTTCTTAATGGTATATATACATTTGCTACTTACTGCATATACACATGTGTAAGTCAATATACTCACAGCTTATTACATTAAAGCAAAACTACTGCCAAACCAATCTACAGAAACATCATAAAATGGGATGATTATGAACAATTTTTTTCAAATGGTGAAACGTCCACACTTGTCAATTTTTAAAGTATGGCTTGAGGACAAATACAACTGGTGGCTAGGAGGCCCAACTGTAGGTTATTACTGTGGCCCAACTGGATCTCTTGTTTAATTTATTACATTCCTAATCATCCTACTAAGGAGTAATTATGGACATACATTAAAAATTACCTGTAGTCCCCTTTTCTCTAGCACTGAGCTGTGTAGTATCAACCAAAATATGTTTAAAAAGCCACAAAAGTTTATAAAATGAGCATTTCTCATCTCATATATTTAATAATAATAATGAAAGGAAAACATCCACAAGACACTATGTGTTTTGAAAAGGAGGCAAACAGGTGTAAACTTATAATATAGACATCAGATATAATAAAAAGAAAACTATATCATAGACGTAGTGTTGTGCTTCACTGAAAGATTAGACACTAAAGTTAATATCATGGAAACACTGTAATAATCCAACCAATAGATCATTTGAAATTAAGAGTACAGTGGGGTGAAGTAGATTTTGTTCCTAATCACCCCATTTTATGTTACACGATTTTGGAAGTTAGCTTGCATTTTCAGCTTAAAATCTTGAATGAAATAAAGATGTTATATATATATATATATATATATAGCTATGTCTCTAGGTGTATGGTCACAGAAAATTAATATAATAACAACAGATTTCTAATTTCCAGCCAGAATATTCTTATAGCATACAGGTGACAAAAAACCTTAGTTTTTCTGGGTACAATTTTTTTTTAACCAAAACAGATGATCAGATGGAATTACCTAAATATAGATGCAGAGACTATCAACTGCATGTATATATAATTACAAATACATACTGACTGTATGTACGATTACAAATACATACTGACTGTATGTATAAATTATTAAAAATACATATTGACTGTACATATAAATTATTACAAACACATACTGGCTGTACGTATAAATTATCACAAACACATACTGACTGTATGTATAAATTACTGTAAACATATACTGACTGTACGTATAAATTACTGTAAACATATACTGACTGTACGTATAAATTACTGTAAACATATACTGACTGTACGTATAAATTACTGTAAACACATACTGACTGTACGTATAAATTACTGTAAACACATACTGACTGTACGTATCAATTAATTACAAACATACTAACTGTATGTATAATTTATTACAAATACATACTCACTGCATGTGAATGATTATAAGTTCTATTCATCGATACAGTTACTCAATGTGTGTTATAATAAAACATGCCACTTCTAACTATAAAAACATTTTCATAACACAGTGCATGGGCATTTACCAAGTTGAAAATGTAGCCTTATACTTTTACAAAACTCAACTTGTGCAGTAAAATAATACATAATATATCCAATATATGGAAACAAAGTTTTTATTTTCTTCCAGTAAACAAAAACACTGCTACTCTGTGTTTGCAAACTCCACCTAGCTCAAATGATTCAATCCACATTACAGTTTACAAGATCTGACAATGAGTCTGAAGTCTCTTGACTGGCTAATTTGAGTATGATGGCACAAGTATTAAGCGTTACTCAAAAAAGTACAACAGTCTAACAATCAAAGTCTGATTCAAAGGTCTGAAAACATTAACAGGCTGCCATAGTCCTATATATTGTGACCAAAACACAATATTAAATCTCAAGGTTTTCATTAACATCAATCTTTATCTAACACTAAGATTATACTTGAAGAACTACATAAGTAATTTTTGCATTAATTGTAAATTTTATGTAGGTTTAAAAGGATGATGACCAGATTGATGAAAATTATCCAAATTTTAGTGTCTAAATTCTATGTTAATTAAGCTATAATGAGTGTGAGGAGAAAGAAATATGTATTCCACTTTGAAGAGGAATATAATATAATATAATAATATAATACATCATATAATCATGTTGAAGTAAATAAAACTCAACATGTTAGCATATAATTACAATGATACATTTTCCATTCTCCTAAAACATGTATTAGGTACCCTCTCAAACCTTCTCTTGTACATAAAAAATATGTTAACAGACCTGATCTTGTCATAACCTTAAAAAACTAAGTAACAACTAATATCACAATGATTTAATCTACTTTCTTCAAGATAATGAAAATGTTTATAAATTCAATATAACAGAAAACACTACATAGTGTTTAACTGCAGTACAAAGAGCAAAACGAGTTTGATGATATATTAATAAGAATCTTAAATAAAAGTAAAAAAGATTATTATAACCTTGCTTAAATTCCTAATTAGGCCTCATTTGAAGTTTTTCATGCAGTTCTGGACCTGTTGTGAAAAAGTGCAGAGATGGGATACATATTCAAGAAATGTGAGCAACCAGGAAAGACATAAAATGTTTGATTTCTTTCTTCTATGGTAGTGAAAAACTAGGTGAGGTTTCAGATGCTTTTAGCTGTTACAAATTTGGATAATCCACCTATGACGGTTCTGTTTAAGTTGCAAATTGAGAAGGTTAGACATTCAAACTTGATTATCTGTGATAATAGTTAATGTAGACTTAAAAATATAAACATCCAGTTAGAGTTATAAATTTACTTAGTTTCATGTGTGATGTGGTGAATATATTTAGTTGAAAAATAAATTATAGGGATGTGAAAAGCTACCTCTTTCACGGTTTCATTTAATTTTTTCAGTGAGTGAAAAAGTGACCTAAATGGATTAAATCAGCATCTATAACCTTGCTTTTTTATGTTCTTAGAAATAATTGAATATAAAATGTTATAATAATTGGTCAGCTTACTAAGACCACTAATGATCCTCCCTGTCAAATGTATAATTAAAAAAAAAAAATCAACTCAAAGTCTCTTTCAAATTCCAGCTGGAAACAGTAACAGCATCCCCTTTGATGACAAAGTTTTTACCTTAATTTTACTTAGTTTATCCATAAAGTAAAAACAAAATAAAACAGGGCTTAAGAAAATGAATAAGGTATTTTCAATTCATTATATTTTGCTTCAATAAAAGACCTTTTATTTACCGATTTGTTTTGTGGTGAAAAATATGCACCTCCAAAAAATGACTTGAACAAAAAATATTACAGATGTATCTAATGTGGTCAGGAGAGAATCAGGTTACATTTTAAACAGATAATACAGTAATATGGCTAAATCAGATACTGTGATTCACGTCTTCACGTAAACAATGTTTGTAAATACCATACACACACGTTGAACTTTCCAAATCTTTAAGTTTTAAAAGCATGCATTTTGAAGCATTATGATATTTGTTTTATTATTTAATAACATATGACATTTTTTCACTTTGAGATCACTAATTAATCAATTTATCAACAAACATGTAAGTGAACCTTTTCCATTCACAGACTTGTCTAATAAAACAAATAATTATTTATTTGAGAAAATCTTCAATACAAAAAAAATTGACTGAAATACAGGATGTATTCGTACATAAAAAAAAGGCTTAATAATTCTACCATAATTTTTACTATCAACCCTTATTCAGCTCCAAATTCAAGCATTACATAAAGCAACAATCATTTAAGCAGTTCTCTCTAAACTCTTCAGCAAGTCAACATCTCTTACAAGAGAACAAACTGATTATAGTACTCGAAACAGAAATTAGCAAGAGTCTTATACAAAGAAAAGTTACCTTTTTTAAATGCTAGGCTCAACAGTAATATATCCTAGCAACCAGTTATCAAATTGCATTTATATATACTGCCATACCTAAGTTATAGTATTACCTTTCTCAACATTACAGAAAATACTCCAAAACTTGTTTGGAAAGTCTCAGAAAAGATGACGGTATGTTATTGTAAAATGATTATCAATATACCAATAATTAGTCATTTTCCAACTATTCGAGTAAGGTAATCTATTTAAAATATAATACCAAATTATTCCTACAATTTTAATTCAGAGAAGGAGACCATGGTGATATCTAGTTGTAAGTCAAATAAAAATGATTTTAAAATTACAAGGATTAGTATATGCACATTTGCAAATCACTGGTACCAAATAGTAAACTCCACTTTAAGTCATAAAATAAGCAGATAGATCATCAAATATTTTCACATGACAGTATAATTAACTAAGTTTTGTAAGAATTATGATCCCTAGTCATTTCCATATGTAAGTAAAAAATATTGTAAAAAAATACATATAAGTCTTCAAATGTAACTTTGAACAATGAACAAATTAGGTATAACAGAAAGGCAAATTGCATACTTTTAGCTTTTCATATTTATGGCCAATATCACTAACATCAAAAAGAAAACGGCCTAAATTAATAAATGCCCACAATCATAAAACTGCAGCATTATATTAAACTCCTTTCAAATTAACAGAACCTTTAACGTAAGATAATCAACCCAAAACCATAAAATGACATTCTTCTCAATAGTTAAAACTCTTAAAATAAACTAAACATCCACCATCTTATAAATATCTAAAAACTTCTAAACTATTGAATACATCTAAAATGTTAAGTAAAATAATGTGCTGATGAGGATTTTCTTAAATTGATCACAACTGTGAGCATACATGTAACAAGTTTGCTGGGAATATTGTTTGCATTGTTAAATGTTAAACCATGGTGTTTGAGAACTTAATGATAAAAAATAATTTTATTATTTAATGTTGTAGCTAAATTTATACCTTTAAAAATGTTACTGTTGAATAGAAACAATGTATTCTAGAATATTAGTGATCATTTCAATCCTTTAGACAATATATTGTTGATCTCATTCATATGACTTTCATGCAACAATATTTTCACTTCATTCTGATTAGCAACAAATAATGCATGAAAACTATCTATACAATATATGAAAAGTATCAATTACTGGATTCACAAACACGTGGTTTAATTTTTTTAAATACTTCAAAACATCTGGTTTCTCTGTGTAAACTACATGTGTGAAACACTAAACAAAGAAACTTTGTAGAAAAACTGCTGGAAATGTACTTTGCCAAAAACCATGTAAAAGTCACTAATAAAACTGTTTCAAACTATTTATTTTGTTGAATAATTAAAATATAGCTTGACGCTAAAAATTACCCTACGACTATTTCCAAGTTCTATAAGGACTATATAATAAAAAAAATTCATGACACTGCATTTTACAAGTATTGAAGTAGTACATTTTTGTGGGATACACCGGTACATCTAATGTCACTGTAACAATAACATTACTCTTGTTAATTCCGACATTTTAAAGCTAAGTCATAGTATGTTGATTACCAATTTATATACAATACTATTTTATGTTTGGAAAGTATGAAAAACAAAATCCTAAATGGTTCCAAACTTCTGTTCATAATGATTAAAAGTTGATACGCTTAAAACCTTTATGGAAAGCCATGTTAGGCTTAGTAGCCTGTGCTTCTTTGTTCACGAAAGAAAGCACGAACAGGCTACAGGCGAGTCAAGTAATCGGGCGGTAAAATATAATCAAATAGTTGATAAAAACCGTCATTACTCCAGCACCGACGCAGGACAAAGAAAAGTTTAGCGTCCTGCCGTTACCTGGGTGACACAGGTGAACGGAGGATGTATCCGCTGGACCAAACACGAGAAGTCATCACCTTAACTCACTCTTTCCAATTTCAGTGAGATTAGTGAAACGACACAGTCGTACACAGTAGAAGACTCTTCTATGTTAAAATATCAGGTTACAAACTAAATTATATTTCATAAAAGTCTGGATATGCTTTTTTGGCTATTAATATAAGGTACATTACAACAAGTATTCAAACTATTTAATAGTCAATAGTGTATTATAGGAAAAATGAATCCTTAAATAAACCAACCTTTTCCCATCCGCCTAGGGCGGTCACTTGATTGTATAGTGAATACAGATCCACATCTTTCCCATTTATACGAGGCATATGACGAAAATAGGTCCTAAACGAATAAAATACGTTAAATCAATCACCAATCTATATATGAAACATCGTATAACAATTGTTATCGAAAATTAGAAGTAAACAATGTAAATACACTAAGACCTAATGAACGTACCCTCGATTCTGATGGAACTGTCTGAGCTCGTTCATGAAGGCATTGTAATCCCTCGTGTAAGCATCTGGTTGTTTATGTAACTTCTCCATGATCAAACTATTTGAAAAGTGGAGGAGCTTAGTAAGTATTTCAAACTTTCCGTGATTAAGTTCACCTAACCATCGGTGTGCACGCCGTCATCGGGTCCCGTACGCGGCGCACCAAAAATAAAGTATTCGGAGGGAATATCAGACGCTGTGCCACACCAACACCTCTCATATACACGCAGGCGCGCGATTCATCCACCACAAGAAGCTTGCTGCGGCGTAGCTTGTAGTTGCTACAAGCCAAGAATGGTGGCTAACGACGAGAATGTTAGCAGTACTTGCCTTTCAGTGGTAAGGCTTACCGTAAGCTGACTAGACGCGTTCCCTTGGTTTGTGCTTTATACTTTAGATGCAATCAGCTCTCTTCTTTTAAAGCTATGATCATTTTATATGAGAAATCTAAGTATAGGTTACGACGAAGGAAAGTTGTATTACTTTTTTCATTTATCGATTTTTCTGTAACAATAGAATTTCAAGATGGCGGCATAATAACTTGTAGAAAGTGGCGCTGTGCGTTTTATTATTTATTATAGCAACGATGATTATTAATTTTACTGAGCCTATTCTAAGTTTTTGTTATTTAGTTAATCAATTGTACTAATGTATCACCTATGTTTGAATAAAATAAGGTTTTTATTACATCATAAAAGTGTACAAACTGCGATATTTATTTTTTTTATTTATCCCAGTTCGACCCTGAAGTACTGACAATTGTCATAGACTGATGATTAAAACTCAACCTAAAGCAACCAAACAAGGTATAGTAATATGCGTGTATTTATACATAGGAGTACGCAAGACAAAGAAAACACAGGCTACCCGCCTGATGACTTCCGCGTCATTGTATTACGGCCAACATCATAATACAAAGACAACAATAAACGAGAACTGGTTTAATTAAAATCAAATAATGTTTTAAGTTGGAACTTAGAATAATTAATACGAATGACTGATTTTAATTCGAGTTTTAATAATTTATTTCCCTCATTTTTTTCCATTCCTTTATTATTTTCGGATATATTTTTCTCACATTTTATTTTATATTTATTTTATTAACAAAAGTTCGTTGACCTTCTCAACTATATTGTTCAATTAGTGTGATAATGCGCACCTCACCAAAATTTGATTTTGTATGCAGAACAATTTATTTATATTTCTTATAGTTATACTTGTAACATGTTGTCATTTGTGTAAGTAATTGAGACGTATTAAGTGATAGGAAGAATCGTATCTTGTAAAGCCCGTCCCTTATCTACAATACTGCATGAGCAAACGAATGATGATAAAATTATCAATAATAATAAAGATCGAATACCTTATTCGTGAATTTTGGATATTGTAAGCCTTTATTAAATTTAAGTTAACATGTTAAATATGGGCTGAAGAACTGAAATAAAATGTTACTTAAAAAAACAGATTCAGACGAGTTCCAATTTTGATCTATAAAAATATGGTCGTAATATCAGCGGATAGATACATATATTTTATTTTTGTTACTTAGATAGTGCTGTTATTATAACAATAAACACAATTTAAAGATATTTAGAATTTTTATGTTTCACAAAATGTTTAATTATTAATTTTAAATTATGACGATGTTCTAACCATTTCATTAATTTTCTGTATTATGTATTCGTATTTCGCATGCACATTGTTTTTACTTACCATCGTGAGGAAATACATAATTTTTATAGTAGTTTTTATTTAAACTAACGAGTATTTATTAAAGTAATTAAATTATTTATTTAAAATAAAAAGATAACATATTGACATTAAAATTCGATGACGAGGAACCCACTTTGAGACTAATAATGGTTGGAGACGGCTTGAATGGGCAATGAAGAAAAGTTTAATATAAGTTTAACATAACAGCAAAATG